ACTCGGCCATTAAGCCTAAGGGCTACTCTTACTTCGAGTTCGAGCAAACACTCACTCGACCATAAAGCTTAAAGGACTACATTAACTCGAGTTCTAGCAAACACTCACTCGACCATAAAACTCACTCTACCATTAAGCCTAAGGGATACTCTTACTTCGAGTTAGAGCAAACACTCACTCGACCATAAAGCCTAAGGGCTACATTAGTTCGAGTTTGAGCAAACACTCACTCGATCATAAAAGCCTAAGTGTTATTTTCATTTTGAGTTCGAGTAAACGCTCATTCGACCATTAAGCCTAAGGACTACGTATAAAACCTAAGGGCTACCTTAATTCGAGTCCGAGAAATCATTCTCACTCGACCATAAAGCCCAAGGGCTACATTGATTCAAGTTCAAACTATTGCCCCGAATCAGGGACTACGTGTCAAGCTTAATAAGGCTACTCTGCTTCATGTTTGAGCAAATCATTTCATGTGACATCTATCTATCAAGCCTATGGGCCACCTCAGTTCGGGTTCGAACATTCACTCGGGGATTACCTATAAGAAATGGTCGAGTGCAGTACTTACTATCGGCCCTTACTATCTCAATCTTTGACCTTCGAATAATTATTCAATGCTAAGGCACTTTTGACATTTGTATAAATTAACAAAAAGTCAAAAGATTCAGAAGCCATAAAAGGGAAAAGTTTTATATATAAATCTTTTACAAAGGCAACTCGGGCCGAAGGAAGTTCTTTACAAAGGCCGAAAGCAGCCTCAATAGAAATAACAAAAACTACCTAACATCCTAAATGGCTTGGTCTTCATCGGAGGCCGCATCCTCGGGATCTTCCCCACCTTTAGATTCGCTTGAGCTATCGGAGTCTTCCTCAGGGAAGGCCAGCCTTCGAGCCTTGTTTTCCTCCGCCTTGGCAATTTCAATCTCAGCCCCAACATCGAAGCCCTAAGAATTGACCTCCTCGAGAGCTTCCCTCCGAGCCTGCCATTTAGTATGTTCGACCATGCTCTTGTCCTTAGATTGGTTGACCTCAACATCGATCCTGAACTGGGCCACTTTTGCATCAGCTCTTTTATTAGCCTCGTTAACCTCGGATATGGCCATTTCGAGTTCATTAGCCAAGCTTGCCTTATCGGAAGTGGCCAAATCTAACCGACTCTGAAGCTCTTTAACCCTCTCGATCAGCATCAAGGCATTTTCTTTTGCAGCCCGAAGTTGGCCCTCAGCCGACTCCAGTTGCGCTTGAACGGCCTCCTTTCTGGAAGCGAGGGTATCCATACTTTCTTTGAATTTTTCCCCCTCGGCCATTAGCTCATCCACTTGCGAATTGAGCGGTCCGATCTGCTCAAGGCTCTGCCGAACCTACAGAATCGGATTGTTAGTGGTTATCTCCAATTCATCTTCACTGTCGTGAAGAATTCGAAATACCTGCTCGGCCATCTCCTCATGCTCGTCCCGAGCCGCTGCAAAATCCGCTTGGAGTTTCTCACTAAGAAATTTATAGGAGTAACTTTTCTCAGTGAGGTTTCAAACTTCGGCCTCATGCTCCTCTCGGATTCGGAGGAAAGCCTCGTGATGCAACACCGAAGCCTACATACATTAGGAAAGAATGTTAGAACCATCTACAATTCTAAGTATAAAAGAAACAGCAGAGATGCCATCAGAGTTACCCGATTCAGAGCATGCTGGGCCTCATTGAAAAGGCAGGCGGGTCCTACCACATTCATCACTAATTGATCCTCTTCGGTTACCAACGACCGAAGGCAACTGGTAACCCCCATTGGGGGAGAGAAAATTCGGGTATCCTCCGAGACGGAGAGCACTACCTTCCGCCTATGATCGGGGTCAACACTCGGGGCCATGAATCGGTCCACCAGTTTTAGAATTGATGAAGACCCGGCAGAGCCCGACCATGATGCTTTCTTTGGTATCGGTAATCCACCAAACCCGATAACCTCCTCTGAGGCAGCTAACTCGATCCCATCCAAAAAACCGTGGATGTCGGTCGGCTCCTAAATGCCCTAGCTGGATCGACCTTCCAACATGCTAGCCTCACGGATCATAGCATCCGAGATCTGAGGGGATCCACTAATATCAACTATTCCGAGCTCTTCCCTCGAGATATCTTCTACTTCCCGAGAAATCCTACCCTCGGTATCCCCTTCAACCACCTCAGCTCGAGACAGAATAGTATCGACTTTTTCTTGTTTTGGGATTATGGCCAGGGTTCCTTTATTTACTTTCGCCGATTTGGAAGATTGTTGTATCACAACATTAGCCCATACATAGGCTAATTCCTCTTCTCCTTCTTCGAGCTCGTCCGTTAATCGGCGGATCGATTCCGAAGGCATGACACCGGAGCCCCCTTTGGCTTGCGAGATTTCTTAGCCGATTTTTTCTTTTCCGAGACCGGATAACTCGGTACGTCTTTTCTTTTCTTTTCTTTAACCTGCTTCAGGGCAGGAACCTCTTCATCACCAGATGGAGGCCTCATGGCAACATCCTTCCGGAGTTATACAAAGGGAAAAAAAGGGATAAGCAACTAAAGAACAACAAATTACAAACAAATTAAGAAAGAGACTTACCATTAATACGGGTCTCCCATCGACCCTTTGATAATTCCACCCAAGCACGCTCGGAGTACTGTCTCTGCAGCACCAGACCTTCAACCCATTGTTTAAGATCCAAAATCGGTTCCGGCATCCGAGCCACGGCTGTGACAAGAAAGGAATAATGATCAAGAAAATGAAATGCAAGTCACAAAATTAAAACGAACGAAGGGAAATAAGCACTCACGGTTCATATTCCATTTCTCAAGAAATGACACGTCATCGGCAGGGAGCAGGTCCAAGGTTTTGACTCGAACAAAACGGCCCATCCAACCTCGGTCACGAGTCTCGTCTATACTCGAGAATGAAGCTTTGGTGGCTCGGCGAGAAAGCTTGATTAACCCTCCTTGATAAAGTCGAGGACTATAAAGGCGTATAAGGTGATCGAGGGTGAAAAGACACCCCTTGATTTTGCTCGAGAAAAATCGAAGAAGAATCACTATTCTCCAAAAAGAAGGATGAATCTGGCCAAGGGTCACGTCGTATCTTTTGCAAAAGACGACGATGACATGGTCTAAAGGACCCAACGTGAAAGGATAAGTGTAAACACTTAGGAACCCTTCCACGTGGGTAGTAATCGATTCATTAGGCGATGGGACTACCACGTGCTTATCATCCAGTTGCATTCTTGTTTGACTTTCTCGAGAATCTTCTCGGTGATTGTACATTGGTACCTCGACGTCGGCTCATATCGGCGCGGTACCAAAGAAGGTTTTTCAACTTTGAAGTCACTGACAGTTGAACAACCTACCGGAATGAATTCCTCAGGGCGAGGCTCCTCCGCATCCTCACCGTCGGCGGGACGTGATGAAGAAGCGGCCTCTTTTTGCGGAACGGTTTTAGATATCTTGACCATCTAAATTTTCAAGAACAAAGAAGATGGGAAATTGAAATATTTGGGTGTTTGGCGAAGAACAAGCAAAGAAATTTTTAAACCTGGAAATAGAGAACTTTGGTGAAAGCGAAGAACTGTGAAGTTTGGAATGAGAAGAGTTGAAGGTAAAGGTTTGAAATGATGAAGAAATGAGGCTATTTATAGATTTCACAGTGACGGTTCGAAATTGGCAGTGGCCGACCATCGTCTAACGTGTATTTAATGCCTTGATAACTGGACCGATGGGATATTTGTCACATACGTCATAATCAGGCTCGATGCAGATGTCAGTGTGTATCTAGTCAAAAGTCGAAAAATCATATCGTTTCTCGCCACATTCTTTCTGAAAAATGAGGGGACTATCTGTATACGGTCAAAATCAAGTTTTTCCTTCGTATAATTAGTAAAGATTGGAACATAATGGACCGAGGGTTGTCATTATAATATTGAGATATGATGTGAAGCCGGGTTATCGAGCTCAAGACCCGAACCGATCAATACCGAGCTCGAGTCAATATCGAGCTCTGATGTGAAGTGGTGTTATCAAGCTCGAGAGCCAGAGACCGATCAATACCGAGCTCGAGTCAATATCGAGCTCGAGATCCAGAGACTGACCAAGATCGAGCTAAGAGACAAAAAGCCATTGTAGCCGCACTAGGGGAGAGAATCTCGGCGGGAATTAAGGAAAAGCTATTTAACTAATCTATCATGGGATCCTCACTATGTATTTTTAATAATACCCAAAGTAGGATTTTTCCACTATATTAAGAGTGGCTATCATTTCTATAAAGGGCATCAGACATTCAACATCTAGATATCAATACGCTCTCACAGTTCAAAGATTATTGATATTTACACATATATATAGTAAAGATTATCCTTTTTTGGGCTTTGAACATTGATTCATTTTGCTCGTTTATAGATCATTCTCTACTCAATTTGGGTTTGTATTTCATTCCTTTTTTACCGTCAATATTCGATATATTTCTATATATTTTTTTAATTTGTACCAAATTATATCACGTATCCTTAGAAATACGTGTAAATCTAACTCTGTCGTTTTCGGGTAAACAATCATATTAGTTTGAAGTAAGAAAATATTCTAAAAAATAATATATTATAGAGAGAACTTTTATTTGTGTTTATTCGCGATCATTCAATACATATTTGATATGATTACTCATCAATTGGCATTGACAATAACTGCCTTTTCTTTTGCATTAATTTGCTTGGCAAACTATTTGACATGTACAAAGGCTTTGATTACTTCCTGCAGCTGCACATGTACAACTATGAGGCATCATACTTGCTGGCCACTGGAATAGAGCTAGATTGCCACAACTAATTTTATCACATGTTTGATTAGCCTTGAAACTTCCAGGGCAAAATTTAGGATCACCTAAAACAAGAAAAGAGAAGACTACATATTAATAAATGCGATTAAAAAGATGGAGATGGAAAACTTTCCAAGACATATATACTAGCAGGAAAGAGGGTTTACATATGCATTGAAGAAGACAGTCGTACCTAGTGCAGGATCAAACAAAGTGAAAAATATTGCCATAGAGAGGAGGAAAAGCATAATGTAACTCTTCATTTTTGTTCACTCTTGAACTTTTGTATATGTGAAAGTATGAATTGTTAATGCTATTTAGGCCACTTATATAGGGCTTTAAGGAATATATGGTATTATGATATTACTTCAAATAAAGCTAGTAATCTGGAAGATAGTAAACTACTTGCTAAAAAAGAAGTTACCAAGTAACTACTTTTTTGCCTCATTAAGTACCTACCAAGATATTAGTTTAGTACTAGTATATAGATTACATAACTTAAAAAATTTGAGATATTATTCATGTTCAACCAATAAAAATATGATATTCTGATTCTCCATCTAAAATCTGCAAAAAATAATAGAGCCTAAGATTCCCTTATCATTTTTCTTGATTTGAGATTGCTCTACTCTACCTAATACAATGTTCTGCATACAGCAACTACGTCAAACTAGCTAAAAGAGGCAACAATGTTAAACTAGCTAAAAGAGATAGATATTCGCCGTCTGTGGGGATCGAACCCACGACCACGTGGTTAAAAGCCACGCGCTCTACCACTGAGCTAAGAAGGCTATTATGTCCTCCATATACTATGGACATTTTAATCTCTAAGCCACAATTAAATCAGCTAAAGAGTTGCTCTTAACTGCACTGCAAAACATTACGGCTTAAAAAGATACAAAGGCTTTTTTTCTGGAAAATTATTCATAAGCTAAGTGATTTTATAGCTAGAAAGTTAGTTTAATTATTATAAAACAAATGTAAGTTCGATAATCATTTGAGAAAATTATGTTCCACTCGACATCATGCTAGAATTCATATTTCCCCTTGATAGCTTTCTTTCCAATTCTTATTCGATATAAAGCATGGTAGTAGGCTTATTTAATCTTAACAAGTGCACTATATGAAGTTCGTAAAAAAGTAATTAGGAAATTTTTGGTTGCTAGTTATGTAGGGATTACAATATATGAATATAGTAAATACCTTGCATCCCATTTTTTTGTGAATATGTTTGTGTCACGGTCCCAAAATCACCGACCGGCTTTGATAGCGCCTAATTCACTTGCTAGACACGCCAAGTATAACAAAAACGAAATATAAATACCGAATTAACAGAAATAGTACAAGCCTAAGGCCAATTAATATAAACATCAGTGTCGATACATAACAAATTCCGCATATATGGAATAAAGAGTCATGAGCTCTAAGACAAAATACAAGTCTGAAATGACAAATAACAATACTGTCTGAAATGACAAATAACACTACTGTCTGAATACAAGACAACAGTACAAAATGAAAAAAGATGTCAAGACTGCGGTTGAGATGCAGCTCTACCTCGTCTCTCGGATGACAACTCAGCAAGTAAACCTCAGCTACTGGTGGCTCGGTCCAACACCTGGATTTTCACAATTAAGTGTAGAGTATAGTATGAGTACAACCGACCCCAAGTACTCAGCAAGTATCATAACTAACATCGGCGAGGAAATAGAAGCAAGACTTATAAATGATACCAACTATCACATGTACAGTTCATAAATCCAACAAGTACATAACAATAATATGATCAGTCATAAATCACATAAAGATCCACCTTGGTGCAACAAATTACCTACGTACTCTGCTCAGTCTTCGATCCAACATATAAAGGAGATATGCAAATAATTAAGTAAACTACCAAGGAAATTGCAAGAAAAGATGAAATGCAACAACCAAGCAACACTGGCTAGCTTTTTGTCACGACCCCAAAATTTCACCTAAGGTAGTCATGATGGCACCTAGTTTCTAAGACTAGGTAAGCTTAACATTCATAAATAACTTAACATAAATAATGAATTAAGATAATAAAATAAACTGATAAAGCTCATAATAACTTTAAATATGGAACATTAATAACATAATCCCCAAAATGGTGGAACTGAGTCATAAGCTCTACAGATATGAACTAAGAATCTCTAATACAATATTGTCTGAGTAGAAGATGAATAGTAGTAAAAGTAATGACTGAAGGTGACTCCGAGGCCTGCGAGCGTCGGGCAGGTATACCTTGAAATCTTCGAAAATAACTGTACGATCATTGGCATCCGGCACGAGCAGATGTACTTGGATCTGAACAAAAATGTGCAGAAGCATAATATGAGTTCATCACAATGGTACTTAGTAAGTATTAAGCCTAACCTCGTTTAGAGTAGGGACGAGACCAGGTCAAGATACCTACTAGGATATGAATAACTGAACAAAATATAATATAGTCTAATAATGTGAAGCAAGGTAAATAGATGACAATAAGGTCGTATAATAATGTAAGATAACCCAGGAATGAACATATGATGAGAACAACAAGTAATCAAGTACGGACAAATACAAGAAAAGCAAAGGAGGAAACATCAAGAGTTGTTCAATCAACAAGCATTTTAACATAGAATGTACATCAATAATCAAAACCGAGGTACCACACCTCATAACTTCATTTCACAAATCACAATCTTTCCTTATATCGCCACGTGAGCCTTAATTTAAAATTTTTTGAAAATATTTTTTCCGAAATAGCAACACGCACTTTAGCCCCTTTATGTCGTCATGTGGCTTCAAGTAATTCCATTACTAGAAACACACACATAAATCTCACATTATGCCACCGCATGCATATTAACCTCTAATCTTATACTGCCGTATGCGATCAATATCACAATACAATAACAAATCGCACCACAAGTACCCATATATCACAACTTGCCAAAATCAACAATACCAAAGTTACCACGACATATAGCCCACGGCTCAACCACAATGTGAACAAGAACCTCAATAATAACAAAATGAATGAGAATTATTCAACAAGGAAAGATAACTCAATAATCAATAACTTCAACCTCAATATGATAATGGCTTTCATAACTTCCACTTCAATAACTCAAAATGAAGATATTCCCACGAAAAAATAACTTCCAATTCAATTGTATAACATAAGCTTAACAACGAAAAAGATAGTATAAAATAGCAACTATGTCTAAATACATGAGAATAATTCAACACGAAGAGACATTATGGAATAATAACTTCAAATGAGAATAACTCCACAATTAAAAAGGCACATAACGATAAGAGAGATAACAACATCAATTAAGCCATATAAAAGCATGTTTGACAATAAAAGATTGAGCAGGTGATAACAACATCAAGTAAAGCATGCAAGAGCAATTTAACAATGGAAGATATAACATGATATTACATTTTTAATTAAATGCATGAAAGAGCCTAAGAGTCTAATCCGGTCAAAATCGCGTACACGCTCGTCACCTCGGGTACACGTCTTTCATATAATTAAAATAACACAAAGCCCTAAGGAGTATTTACCTCACACAAAGTTAGACAAGATACTTACCTCAAACAAACTAAATCACTCCACTAATAAGACTTTTCTACGAAAATCTCACTCCAAACGGCTCGAATCTAGCCAAAATATCTTAATACCATAAATACAAGCCATGAAAAGCAATTTCGGATAATAAAGTTTCAATCTTTAATGAAACTTAAAATGTCAACTCAAAAAGTCAACCCCAGTCAGCACTTTGGAACCCGACCAAACTTACAAATTCCAAACACTCATTCCGATACGAGTCCAACCATACCAAAATTATCCAATTCCGACCTCAAATCGACCTTCAAATCTCAATTTATGGTTTCGGAAAGTTTTTACAAAATCCCTAATTTCTCCAACTCAAATCACTAATTGAATGATAAAAACAATGATGGAATCATGATTAATGAACAAAACCGAGTCAAAAACACTTATCCCAATCCAATCCTTGAAAATTCCCTCCAAAATCGAGCTCTCTAACTCAAAAGGTAGAAAATGAAATAAACCCTCGATTCCATCCTTTTTTTGTCTAGTCTTTCTGCACTTGCGGGAAAATGGTCGCTTCTGCCACATCGCATCTGAGGAAAACGATCGCAGATGCGGCTTGACTAAGGACTCAACAAATTCCTCTTCTGCGGACCACACGGAGCATCTGCGCATCCGCTTCTACGCCAAAAATATCGCACATGCGGTCCTCCGTCAAAGTCCAAATTTCCGCATCTGTGGAGCATTGCTCGCTTTCGCGATGCACACCTGCGCGCTCATGTCTGAAACTGCGGACCCAGTTCACCAAGCCAAAAGTCACACATGCAGCAATGCAGCCGCTTCTGCGGCCCAAATTGCGCAGGTGCAAATGCACCAGACTTCAGTAGGCATCAAAATCCTCTAAGTCCAAAATGAATTCGGATTCGATCTGAATCACACCCTGGGCCCCCCGGGACCCCGTCCGAACATACCATCAAGTCCCAAAACACAAAACGAACCTACTCGATGCCTTAAATCACATCAAACAACATTAAATCTATGAATTGCACCGCAATTCAAGGTTATTAAACCAACGAACATTCAATTCTACAACTAACGCCAAGTCATATCAAACCAACTCCGAATGAGCTCAAATTTTGCATGCAAGTCCCAAATGACAAAATGGACCTATACCAACTCCTGAAATCACAATCTGAGCCCGATATCAATAAAGTCAACCCTCGGTTAGACCTTTCAAACCTTCAACTTTTCAGCTTTAGCCAAAAAAGCACCAAATCAACATACGGACCTCCAAATCAACATCTAGACATACACCTAAGTCCAACATTACCATACAAAGCTATCAGAACCATCAAAGCTCCTTTTCGGAGTCGTCTACACAAAATTCAAACTATGTTCAACTCTTCCAACTTAAGCTTTCAACCTTGGGACTAAGTGTCCCAATTCACTCCGAAACCCACCCGAAACCAAACCAACTACCCTGGCAAGTCACATAACCAGAGCTAAATATAGAGAAGGAAATAAATAGAGGAACAGGCTTAAAATACTCAAAACGACCGATCGGGTCATTACATTCTCCCCCTCTTAAAACAAACATTCACTCTCGAACGAGTATAGAGACATACCTGAAGTGCTGAAAATGTGAGGATAACGGTTACGCACATCATGCTCAGTCTTCCAAGTCACCTTCTCGACTGGTTGACCCCTCCATTGAACCTTTACTGAAGCAATGTTCTTGACCTCAACT